TACCAAGCCTTTGTACTCTCAATACGCGAAAATTGTTGGATGAGAAAAATCTGAAAATTTGAGGATTTTAGAGAAATATTTAAGGAACATTTTGGTATGAAAATTTTATTGATTCGACCATTAATGTTACCAAAGTGATTAGTTGTCAAATTTTAAGACTTTTATTTAAATTAAATTCAGTGTAATTCAGTTTAAAAAAAATCATAGTTCAAAATCAACTACACTGCAAAAAAATTCCGGTAAAATGTACCGGCTATCAAAGTGCTCGTACTTTTTACCGTAAAATCAACTTTTACCAGAACATGTTATGCAACAAAGAAAAATTTTTATCTTGTGTTTTACAGTAATAAAAAAATACAGTAATATATATATATCGACGGTTTCAAAATTCTTTGGAGAAAAGTAAAAAACTGATAGTAGTAAAATTATAAATTTTTGTAACCGCTTACTCTTATGACTGAAGATAAAAAAAAAACCGCTTCACTTTTTTTTAAAGACAATTTTGTAGAAAAAATTAAACCTTAGTAAAATTTGAAAAGATTAGGAAACTTTCATCCATTACAAAATAAACAATAAATTAATTCATTTACTTTAATTAATCAATCTTAGATAAATTGAGTAATACTTCTTAAACATTTTAATTCAAAGAAATTTTTTCTTAATTAATTAATTAACTTATAAAATGTATGGTTGATTTAACTTTTAAATCTCAAACAGGCATGAAAGGAGAAATGAAATATTTTTAATGAATAAAACAGAAAACATCTTTGCATTCGAAATTGTTTTTAATAAATCAGAAAAACAGCTTTAACGTTGAGTCCAAATTAGTAACCATAAAGATTATAAATAAATGTGTGTAAACTTTATTATGTTAGATAAAAAAAAACTTTTTGTTCTATTTTTCTTCCTTACTTTTAATACACAGTTTAAGTCAATTCTACAAGATATTTTGCAATTTGACACAAATTTACAAACTGCTGTAAGCAGTTATATATTATTGCAACGTTATCTTTTTCCTTAAACACGTATTTTTAAATACATTTTACAAGATTTATTAGAAGTATTTTGACATTACAACGTAAATTGTTGAACAGATGTGCATGTGTCTATGCCTACAAGTTTCTTTACATGGTTACATACAAAGCGCTTCACACATGGTGCGCAGCGTTTTTAAAAAGTGCTTAAAGGTGCTTATTTTCGATTTTCTTTTTTTAAAATCCCTTAAAGGTGCTTTTTTCATTGGGTGTTTTTAAAAACTGCTTAATTTTTCCCTTTTCTAAAATGAGATTTTTTTCTTTACCATGTCGGTTTTTGTCACGTATTATGCCAAACCATGCTTTTCACATTGTTCTATTCAACGTTTTCACAATTCATTCAGCCACAATCTATTTCGGCCTACCATCGGTCCATAGCGTATGAAAACGTCAATCTTTTTACGTGTCTGATGAAATTTTTGCGAATTCGTGTGTGCGTCTACTGAACTGGGTTTGGTGAGATTATTGTACTCTCATGTGCAACTTTGCTGCATTTTGCAAGATATTCTCGATTTCAGGCTTCATTTTTCACCCTCTGATATCCAACCGAAAAATCTCTCGCTCATTTAATAATGGCTGTTCTTTGTCAGAAACTAGTGCTTTTCTCATTTGATCATGTAAAATTTTTAAAAACTATTTTGCATTTTGTTAATGTATATAGCGCTTAAAAATATTTTTTGAGTGCTTAAAAAGTACTTAAAAGGTGCTTATTTTTTTCTGAGAGATTTGGATACTCACCCTGTTTACATTGTTACATTTCTAGCAATATAGCATTTTAAATTTTATTATGTGTGTTTCAGCTCATCGCAATGGCCTTCATTTTTGTATCGAGAGCTGCTGATGCCGGCATCTTAGGCCACAGTGGAGTGGTGTTTCATGTGGATAAACATGGTCATTGGGGAGGACATAGCTCTCACTATGACTACAGATTCTACCCCGAGAAGAGCCTTCTGGGATACCTCATGGATCATCACCACATGGTGGATAATCACAATATGGTGGATGATCACCATATCGATGATGATCCATATTCTCTCATTCCTGATCATGGTTACCATGGGACATCGGATCCATATTTTTACTATGCTGGAGATCATCACACTTACCACTGATTATTGAATAGTTGAAAAAGGTAACAAAAATTTCTGATTTTTTTTAATATTTGGTTTTCATCCATAACGTAGATGTTGAGACGGGATAGCCTGGTTGGTAGAGAGTTGGGCCCATGTATAAGAGGTCGTGAGTTCGATCCTCTTATACATGGTATACATGGATCTCTAGTAGTTAATGGTGACTAGAGCAAGTTAAGTCTGTTAGATCATAAAATTTTCCATGTTCGCACAACAAATCAATACGTCAGGGGATGCTGAATTGGAGATAGATCATTCTCTGGTTCAGGTCAAAATTAAGATTTGTGAATGAACAAAGGGATATATGAATGGGTTCACCCTATAACCAGGTTGCGACGTGTGCGTGGTTGAAGTCGTATTCTTGGCCACAGATGGCTCCACTGAAAATCGAAAATCACACCCTCTACCTTAATTTCGCCTGGCTTCACAAAGCAGGCTTGGCAAGTGGCACCAGAAACAAGAACGTATATATTAATGATGACTTATGAACGATTCTCGAGTTTGAGGCATTTTCGAAACTGAAGTTATTTTAAAAATAAAATTAAAATTCATCATTGTTGATTTTAGCTTTGATTCTTATTTACGTCTTGCGCACGTTTTTATGGTTGGCATCAAAATTCAATTAAAGTTCAGTCCGGTGGGGATTTTATAAGTCATCATTAAATTAAAAAAAAAAAAAATACATTAACAGAGCTAACAGACCGGGCAATTTTACATAGATGATTTTTTTTGTACCAAGTGTAAACTTTTTAGGCTTAAGACATTATACACAAGCTTTTTTAAACTTTAGAAAGTTGGTAACATACCAGGAAACATTACAAAAAAAATTATCTATAGAAAAATCTAAAAATCTTCAAAAATAATCTTTCATCTCACATACCGAATCATGAAAGCAATATTAAAAAGTGGTAGTAATATCTACTAAGTAATTTTAAAAACAATTATCTTTGATAACAGACCTGACAGTAACAAACCTGACACTTCTCTTGAATAACACAAAACAGTTAACATATCCCAGGAAATTAAAAAGAAATGAAAGATATCTTCTACATTTGTGATTGTGAAGAAAAATCAAAGATATCTTCTACAACTTACTACTTCTACTCAAAATGAATCTTTTAAAATACGCAGGTGTTTTGCCTTTTACTTTATAGAAATTGGTAAAATATAAAAAAGAAATTTGACTTTGCCGTTTCGGACGCCCCCCCCCCTTCTTTTTTTCTGTGATTGCTCGAAAATTTATAGAAAACAAAGTGTTTGAAAATTTTTCGCCCGTTTATTCCCATCGTTTCAATTTGACACTCTTTCGTACTTCAAATTTTTTGTCACCAAAATGGTTAAGCGATGCTAAATTACTAAGATTGTTGCCAAGTTGTAAACAATTTTCCAAGTCGAACCTTTCTTCGATGCATTCGACGTTATTTTCTATTTGAATCAGGTAAGAATTTCACGACTATCTTGTATATTTTCTTCATGAACCATCCAGGATTCTTCTGAGATATTTAGCCTCATAAACAAATAATATTCATAAAATTATGTACATATTTCAAATAATTAAATTTTATTTATTGATTTACAAATTAACATAAAGACATTTAGTTTCGTCAAAATGCTTCTATCAACATCTATCTTGTTTAAGAAAATGGACTCTGGTCAAAAAGCGCGTAAAAAGCAAAAACCGTGCATGTTTTTTTCAAATACTGAAAAAAAAAAACATCAGTGATGTTTTCAAACATACAACTCTGTTTTATCAAAAACGAGTTCCACTGAGCATTTACTTCACGTTCTTTAATTATTTACCTTCGATAGTTACTCGCAATTGCAACGCCCAAACATGCCATCAGGGGAGTAGCTGGTTCCACGTCTTAACCCTTCCCTCTCTTCTTCTTCACAGTTGTATGGAAATACACTACGATATTTTCCCATTCCATAATATTTTGTGAATTTATATTAAAGTATTTGTAAAATTTGTTAAAAATATTTTCTAAAATTTCCACGACGCTTTCTTTTAGAACTATGTTTAATGCAGCTTTTAATTCCATGTAGTGTCCTAACTGAAAAGTATTTAAACTATTTGAAAATCTAGAGAGAAATTAAAGTACTTCCTTCACCTATGACTGTCCACACGCTAATGGTGAAAGCATGCGAAGTGTTGTCATAGGTAGAGTTCTACCTCCTGCAGCTCATTTCGATCGCCAATGTCAGATAAGCAAGGTCAAAAAGACATCTTCAAATTACTGCTTTAAAAATTATCTAAGACCATGAGCTAATTTTGCTTGTAATGAAGCTTTTAAAAAGTGAAACCTGAAAGTAAAAGTGTCAAATTAACGGTAATTGATATTTTAAAAAAAAAAACAGGAGAAGAAAATTAATGGAAAAAATTGCTTGATTGTGGCTAATCTTACCTTTCAAGTAAAAGACTGCCATCGATAGCTTCTTCATCGCTATTGAGTGCTACTGACTGAGTATAGTTAATCTTTATGTTAATGAGTATAAATTCTAAAATTGCGTTTTACTTTATCATCTAATAACGTTAAGTCACCGAGGTAGGCGAAAAATAATAAAAAATATGGGGTTTATATTGGATTCTTTATTTGTAATTACATCTGTAGACATGTATCTACCATTACAAAAATACAATTCCAATTCACTAGTATATAAGACTTGTTAACTTGTTTCAATGTTGGGGGACCTTTTCATAGATGAAGGTTGACATTGTGGATATCTACTATCATCACGTCTACTATCATCATGTGAAACTATATCACGTCTGGGTCACCCCACATTGGTGACCCGGACGTGATTGCTCCTGTGTCGCCTTTAGCAGTCGAGTGAACACGTTGTGTGCGATCGAGATTGAGTAGCAACAGCACGAGGAGGTAGATAACTGCCTTTCTACCTATCCCCACAGCATCTATCTTTGAATTTTGTGTATGATAGCTATAGATAGCCCTATATTAGTCCCTGATGATAGCGTAGTTTTGATTAAAACTTATTTATTGATTCTTTTTCTCTTTTTTATCCCGTACGAATGACGGGAAGTAAGATAGTAGGATATAAAAAAAGCTAGCATTAAAAAATAATTTGAAATATTCACAAAATACAAAAAAGCAATTCATTGAGTAATATTTTTTATTTACAGGTTCTGCATTGTTTGCTAACATGATAACAGATTGTGGTGAAAACAAAACTGCAGTACTTTTAAGGATGATTTCTACAAATGTTGCTATCACGATTTAGCTGAAATATAATGTGCCACACAATTGTTATATTATACAGATTTTTGAGATATTTTTTATGAGTTTATGAAAAATTCATCTTTTAGTGTAAATTACTTTATGTACATAGATCATTATACATCATAAAATAAATTCACTCATTTTTTACAATGTCTTTTTGTTTCATTCTTGCAAAGAACACTGAGCATAAAAGCATGGTCAAAACTGCCAGAATACGGTAAAATTTACCGTGTTTTTGTCTCTATGGGAACTAAAAAAGGGACAGTAACTTTTACCGACGTGCTTTGGTAATGATTTTGGTAAAATTTTTTCCGTTTTATTCATCTTTTAGTGTAAATTACTTATTTATATATGCACGTATTAGTAATTCAAATTTTAGATGAATAAATTTTAAATACGAAATTCAACTCGAAATTCAATTTTAAAAACAACTTGGAAATTTGCAAAATAAAAATTATAACAAAGTGAATAATATAAGCTTTATTTAGATATAATTTAAATTAAAGCTTAGTAACGTGATAATGTTGTTTTAAAAAAAAGCAATTTAGCGGGTGATAGTCACCGTTGCATAAATATTAGTTTTGCGTTTTTACTCATAAAATTATAAAAGTTTGTATAAATTCCGAAAAACATTTTCGGTAAAGTCCATATTTAAATTTTATTAGAAAATTCTTATGTACAATTTATATTACACAAAAGGAAATTGAAATACTTTTCTCCAAACTAGCAACAATTTTCTTCTCTCAAATATGACTAATGGCCTGATTATTTGGCTCAGTTATTTTCCCCATTAAAAATATGTCCAGGTCTTTAAAAACATTAGAAAAGGTCCAATTCAAGCATAATATAAATTTTGCCAATCAAAAGTAACATAATAATGTAAAATCAGAATAACTTTTCAGGAACTCCATGCTTATGAAAACACTTAAATTCATTACACTTGAAAAACTCATTGAAACTTACAATTGTAAAACTCATAAAAGTCGGTCTGTAATTCATTGTATCTAGATTCCCAATAGCAGCACTAGCGTAAGAATTGGCCTGTCACTCCTTGTATCCAGATTCCGAATAGCAGCACTAGCGTTGAAATTGGCCTGTCACTCTTTGTATCCAGATTCCAAATAGCAGCACTAGCGTAAAAATTGGCCTGACACTCTTCATATGCGGATTCCCAATATCTGCACCAACGCAAAAATTGGCCTGACTTTCTTCTTATCTGAATTCCCAATGGCAATTATATAATAAAATAACGTTTTAATTAACACAGATTTTAGACACACAAATATTATACGTGACATATCTAAAACAGAACAGTTATTGTGATTTTCAGTATGAAAATTTTCCTCTTCTTCTTTAATAGATGCACGGCTAATAAGATTTCGTAATTTTTGATGGTGGAATCTCTTGAAATAAAATGAAAGTTGCATTTCACTAAGGAACTTCTTTAAGTAGAAAATAAAATGAGAGTAAAAAGCAGGAATATGTCAAAAATATATTCCATTGCATAGTTATGCTATGGCTGAAGACAGGACAATATGGACACTGGTAGGAACCGCACACTTGGCACACACTCATCACAAAGAGATTATACATGTCCATCATCGTTTCATTGTATCTTTCTGAAATAGAAAGATTTTTAAGATATTAAAATTTGGTTCAAATTAAATACGTATCTCAATTTATAATCTGGGGGGAAATATATTTCTAATTTTTAAAAAATAATTAAAAATTGGGTTACAATTGGCGTCTTCAGAAGAAGTGAAGTGATTATGCCTAACCATGTGACTTAAATCAGATTTAATTGGATGCCTGTAAGCGATGTCACGTGTGTGTATCGTTTGAATTCGCAAATGCCACGATTTACTTACGATGACGCCACTCGCAGGTGTCCGATTGCATTCAATGCGTTCCTCAACAAATACAACACTGACGAAGATTTTCAATAAGTGATAAGGCAGTAATTAAAAATATAATCTTTGAGGAAAGACACAGATGTTGACCTTAATTGATATTAAAAATATTGCATTTAAAATTTTGATAAAAAACACGTATTGCTAGATGTTATTAAGCCATATAAATATTTGTTTAGCTAAATCCATAGTATGAAAACAAGTATGAAGTTGAAGACAAAATTACAAGAAATGTTGTAAATGACCCCCGCTAATGTTTTTATAATGTTCTTACAAGCACTGGAAAGCTTAATAAGATAATCGAAGATTTTAACTAACATTTATGGGGGAATGTTTTTGGTGTCTTATTCAATTTTTGCTTTTAAATCGGCGATGGATGTTGAGCAATCTACTTACACAACATATTTTAAATATCCCCATAGAAAATAAGCCGAAAGTGTCAAATCCTGACATCGGTGAGGCCACAGACCTTTGGAAATCTAGCAGACCCCGAAAAACTCTTTAAGGAAAGACATGGATACTGTAGATGCATGAACAGCTGCTCTATCCTACCTCAACGAACAGCATCTTTCTGCGAGTTTTGACAGCCTATCCCTTGGCGAGAGATTTATGCTAGCCATGGAGCTACTTTCTCGTTTTTTGTGAGTTGCGTTTTATTTGGGTGATACTGTATGAAGGTTTGTCGTAATTTTTAATGAGTTAAAAAAATAGATGAAAATAAACGAAATGTATAATGGGCTGTATAAATGAGAAAATGTATGGTAATAAAGTATACCTGGTGCATAGTAGTCATACACTTTAACGGGCAAATACCGTGTCATATTTGCTACTGGAAACCAACGCTGCACTGTGAATTTGACACAAGTCGGAGTTATATCAAGCTATAAAGAAAGATACACAAGAATAAATCAAACTACCAACATATTTTTATAGAATTACGCCGCTCTTACTACCAAAAAACAGGATTTATAAACTTTTTTTAATATCACATTGTATATAATACAGCTAAACAAAAAATGCCGCACATACAATGTTGAAATAAGAATAAATCGAAATATGGTAATAATGTATGCAGATTTTTTTTGTAGAATCCTTATCAAACAGATGAATGAAAAACGTAACAAACCATGACAAAGTAACCTGATATAAATTATAAAAAACCACTTTTATTTTAGGATGGTATCAACAGTTAGAAGGTAAAAGACCTCAACATAGATCAAAATAGTAGTCCGACGTAATGAACATAAGCTGCGCAGTAAAGGTAAATAAAAAAGATGTCACAAGGTTCAGACGACTAAAGGATCGGATTTCTCGTTTATGGTAAACCATGCTAAGGCCTTCTCTCTTTTAGGAGGTGTTGATAGTATCTTATTATCTGCATTGTGGTGGATTGAAATTGTACGGCGCTGTGTGATTTTAGTACTGGTTTTTAAGTTTCAGCAAATAAAATATTCAAAGATTACGAGTATTTTGATCATACTATATTCTGTGCAACAATATTTTGGACCAGGAGATAATAAAAACACATTATTTTGTCAAATTGGAGTTTCTTATCAAGCAATATTTTAACGGCAGATTCTATATAGTGTTTTTCTACCACACTTTTAACAAAAACAAATTCATTTCCAGGGTTCGAACTGTCCTTAAAAATGCTTCATTGTTAGCAAAATTAAGAAAATAAAATGTATTTTATTAAGTTTGCATTTACCATTTTGTAAAACATTTCCAAATGAATATATCGTTTCACAAAATCTAATAAATGGAATTTTTACTATAAAAGTGAGAGCTATTAAAGAGAAACTTGTAAATTTCTTTATTAAAATACTGCACCAATTTTTTGAACAAAACTGAATATTAACACAAATTTTTGAACAGAATTGAATTTTAACATCCATTTTTGAATTTGAAAAAAAAATATTATTTAAAAAAAAGAATCTTAATTTGTACGAAAAATTGATAGCTTGGTGGAAGTCGCTTATATCCGGCTATTGCGCTACCCAAAATCAGAGGCTAATTGGGAAATCATTTATCTCCTTGCTTTCTGCAACGCTAAAGTGGATTAGGTTCGTAAAAAAATCTTCCAGAAAGGCAAGTCTGTCCCAAAGTTTGATTCCGCAATTCATTATAATCTGAGTGAGGCTAAAAATTATAAAACTACGGTGTTCAAAATTGATAGACGTGAATTTGATGTCGATCACTGTTTAACGCCGATGATGAAGTAAAATAAAGAAAAATTATAAAAACAATTAAATACTATAAGAAATAAGCAATACTTACATATTCAAAATAAAAAGTAATTTTTCCTTCTTCAAAACGACCTTCCCTCAAATTACGAACTCTGTTCGAACGAACGTAACCGTGAAGTTCATGCTGTTCAATAATGTACCCAGTTGGCAAGTCCACTTCGAGAACGGCCATTCCGCTCATCCTGCTCTCGGACAGTAGGTTCCAGTTCTGACAAGATTGGTAAGTTATGTGAGAATTGTTGCGACCCCAGAAATAAATTGCCACGTCTAGATTAAAAGCAGGAATCGGAGGTGGCGTCATTAGATGCTTCCACTCCACGTTGTACTGCACCGATAGCTGCACCAGAGCCAACCCAGAACCTTGGGCTTTCACAATAACAGCTCCATAAGCGTTCGGAATTTCGACAGTTTGCAACTCAGAGTAGTTGTCCTCGTCAATCTGAAGTTGCTTCGAAAATCCAACGGTAGATGGCGACTCAACAGTCACGGTTACATCCATTACATCTCTGACCCTGGACTGAATGGCATACTCCATAAGAGCTTGCATGGCAATGATAGAGTCCTGAGTGGAAGCCCAGCCATTAGCCGTAGACCTCTGCGTATTCAGCCATTGAACGATCTCTCTTTGTATCACAGCTTGGCGTTTGACGTGAACCAACAAGGCGTAGGCTGTTGTTTCAACATTAACAGAATCATATTTATGTGGTAACCGTGGCATAACGTATGGTCTGTTGTTCTCGACTCTCGCCAAAGTTGGCAGAACGATGTCTTTGGACCAATATCGCGTACCTGCCACTTCCTTCATCTTACTGTCCAGAAAATTGAATGCGACTTCCCCATCGACGCTATTGACTAAAGTCAATGCGTAGGCAACTATTGCGATTTCATAGGGTTCTTTGGACTCTTTAACAGTATGCAACATCTTCTCCAGATATCTTTGGGCACTCCGTTTGGCTCTTGCAACTTTATTGCCTATGTCCTGAAATGCAATATCATATTAATCATATAACTTATTGTTAATGGCATTATTATTATTTTTTTTAAAAGGAAACATTGTGTAGTATTCAAAGAAAATTTCATCTAATTTCTCTTCGTCGCTATACGATTATGAAAAGTTTGATTAATGCAGAGGTCTGTCCAGACGTTTTGTGAAAGGTCCTGTCTTTGTAAAATTGTGAAAAAACTACTCATAATTTGTGAAGATAAAATAAGCGTTAAGTCACATTCTTTCAACCAGGGTCCTGCTTTTGTGAATTTGTGCAAATAGGGTCCTGTTATTTCAAAAATTGCTAAAAACCTTTTCTAGAAGTTTTCAAATTGTAAATAGATACAAGATTCTGCTCAACAATTACTGCTACTAAATTAGAGATGCAACATGCAAATATTTGGTATTCAACCTATATTGCTCAACACAGAATATTCATTTTGGACGAATAATGGAAACAAAATCACTCACATTTTTAATAATTTCAAGTGACATATTTCAAATAACACAACTTAGTTATGTATCACTTTTAATGTGTTACGCATTAAGTAAATTTAAACAATTCTTAAATTTATAATATTTTATTTTTAAAATTGCCAGAAAATAATTTTCATTTACATAATATTCTATTAACTAATATTATGAATAAATATAAATTGATCAATTATTTATTTTCTAAAATATTTATCATTTAATATCAGTAAGAATGTGCACACGATGTTTGTAAAAGTAGAAATAGTTTCTTAGAATACTGCATTTGGAATTTAAACTTGGAAAACTTAGTTCGTTTCGAACTGTCTTTTTTTTTTCTTTCTCCCCCGGAAAGAGTTTATTCGATTAACAAAATAATAATGAAGATAAACAAATTTGTGAAGGGTCCGATTAAGAGATAAATTATTTAGTGAAGGGTCCGTTTCTATGAAAAGATATTTTGTGAAGGGTCCGTTAACGGACCCAAATTTCTTCAAAACAGACCCCTGTAAAGTCATTAGTTTTTTCCATTGATATCAGGTTACTTTCCTCTCCGTTGGGCAATAGCAAATAAACACATCTGGGTAAAGTAATAATAACGTCTAAGAAGAAATCATCCTTATATGTCTTTGGATGTCTTAATGTCAGTCAAAAATTCATTTTCTTGTTAACATGTACCAGCATTGAACTGAATAAATTGTTTCTGAAAAATGTGTCTCAGCGTGTTTAATTTGTTTACTATACATTTGCTTCTATCCAAGATCGAGTATTACCATACATTTTAGTTACCATACAAGACATACATTTAGTTACCATTACCATACAGAAGATTTCGAAAATGCCCGTATTAAAAGAGGAGAATAAACACTTAAAAATACCAAAAACTATAAAAGCATATCCAAACTATGACCAATCATTATTGAATTGGGTAAAAATATCAGCAATTAAACAGGGTGCGTAGCCAAATTATTCAACAAAAAAATAAGCACCCANGCACCTTTTAAGCACTTTTCAAGCACTCAAAAAATATTTTTAAGCACTTTAAAAAATATAATAATTAGGCAGGGTTGGAAAGTTTTTGACAATTGACGGTTTTATCTTGTTTTAACCGTTATGTCAACAAAAAAACCTTTTGGCATTGTTTTTGACAATTGTCAAAAATCATGAAATTTTGAATCATGTAAAATGATTGTTGTTTTCATACGCTACGAAATGACAATACGCCGAAATAGATTGGGGTTGAATTAATTGTGAAAAGGTTGAATGTGAGCTGTGTCTTTTTGCATAATTCGAAGCGAAAATCGAGATAGAAAAGGAAAAATCTCTTTTTGAAAAAGGGAAAATTAAGCACTTTTTAAAAACATCTAATGGAAACAGGGCTGAAAGCCCATATATATCAAGACGGAAAAGAGTAAAAACTGGTAACAAATAAATTTCATTTTTTAGCTTTTTTTCGGGAATAAAAAAAATCCATAACTACCAATTGTCTTTAAGGGATACAATTTTTATATTGTATTGCTTCTTAGACAAGAAAAAATTTATTACAGTGAATTATTTATTGTTAAGAATAGATTGACTCCTCCCGAATATTATCTAATATTGAAATAGTTCTATTACCAGTATTTTCTTTTTTCCGTCTCGCTTTCAGGCCTGAATGAAAAAAGCATCTTCAAAGGCTTTTAAAAACGAAAATCGAAAATAAGCACCATTAAGCACTTTTTAAAAACGCTGCGCATCCTGTTAAAGGAACAATTTACAATCTTTCTCTTTTCTCAGTGAGGCTAATTTAGGTTTTATTCTCCAATAAACTACTCTTGATTGTTTAAATCTTATTAATTTACGACCCCAATATACAATGTTTTTCTTTACTTCATCTTGCAAGGATTTTTTAAAATAAATAAAGAGGAAAGTTTAGAAAACAAATGTACGGAGAAATCTTGTAAAATATTCGGAGTACGCTTCTCACTAAAAAAAATATTATCAGTCAATTTATCCAACTCAAACTTTATTGGTTAAAGGGTAATAAATAGAACAAGCATTAAATTCTTGAATTTTCATTGAATAGTAAAAATTGCGAATTAAATAAATGAATTTGTAACACATTTCTCGAACTTTTCTTAGCTTGCATTTTAAGCAAACAAGCTTTAAAAATAAATTTAAGAAAAAAGTTTTTTTAATGTTTTTGTACTTGAAATCTTTCAAGTTAATTCATGATAAAAAATAAAGTATGATTCATGACTTTTTAAGCTTTAGAATTTAGTTTTGGATGACTAAAAAAGATCTTAAAAACCCCAATAATGATTAGGAAAAGATTCTGAAGGTTAAGATTCAACTTCATACATTAGTCTACCACAATTTTAAAAATATTTTCTTCATAATGATTAAAATGACCTCAAATAAAATAGAGTTTAAAACAATTGAGACTATCCTTACTCCGTTTCTGACAAAGATACTGTGGTTTCGAATTCAGATTTTCGAAGGCTCATTTCTATATTTTGTTTTGCACAGTGTTGTCAAAAACTATACGTTCTTTAGAACGTAAATCGTGAGTTACAGTTTAATTGTTGTGGGGGCTAACAGTGAGAAAATCTCGCAGTTTTCAGCTTCATGCAATGCAAGTGTTTATTCGATCATGGTGCGTGGCCAAATCTCTCAACAAAAAATAAGCACCTTTTAAGTACTTTTTAAGCATTCAAAAAACATTTTTAAGCACTATATGCATTAACAAAATGCAAAATAATTTTCAAAGAATTTGCATGATCATGATAAAATAGCCAGTTCCTGACAAAGAACTCTTTCTTGATTATATTAGCCATTATAAAATGATCAAGAGATTTTTCGGTTCGATATCAGAGGGTGGAAAATGAAGCCTGAAATTGAGAATATCTACTTGCAAAATGCAGCAGAGTTACACACGAGAGCGCAATAATCTCACCGAACCCAGCTCATAATACGTGGTGAAAATCGATATTGTAAAGAAAAAAATTTCATTTTCGAAAAGACAAAATTAAGCACTTTTCAAAAGTACCCAATAAAAAAAGCACCTTTAAGGGCTTTTAAAAAAAGGAAATCGAAAATAAGCACCTTTAAGCACTTTTTAAAAACGCTACGCACCTTGTCGATTTCTACAAATGCGATGATTTATGAATTTTCAACATACAATTTGTTTGTTTTGTTCATTTACGTCNATGGGCTATTGGCGACTGTCTGGGAAACATCCCTGAGGATGATCCGAAGACATGCCATCACAATTTTGATCCTCTGCAGAGAGGATGGCATCACCGCTTCGGAAGCCCAACGACCTGCGCGCGAAGTCTAGCAATTTACGGTAGCACAGTTTAACGAGGACCCATACCGCACACCCTCGATCCCTACGCAGACTGATCCAAGTGGTCACCCACCCGCACACTGACCGCAGTCAGTGATGCTTGACTTCGGTGATCTGCTGGGAATTAACGATCTTAGTCTTAACGATCAGTCCACTGTGGGACATCAACATACAATAGTTTTATAACTAATAATAGTTTTATCATTGATAAAAAAAACATAAAGTAGTGATTGAAAAAAATAAGAATAATACTGATAACTAATTTTTAAAAAAACAACAATTTAAGTCTTAAAATATAGTATTTAGGACACTTACTCCAGTTAAATCATTCATTTCAGCTAGTGTAATAAGAACGTGAGCAGTCAATGAAATATTTCTATATCGAACTGGATCCTTCAATCTTCCTGACTATAAGACAAAACAAGGATATGAAATACACCAAATTAAACAATACTCCATCTTTCAACCTAAAAATAAGCTATTTATTAATATTATATATGTTACCGATATTGCTTGAAAACTGTTAATATGTTTATTACCTAATTATTTCGTAGATTAACTATATTGACTCCGTTGAACAAATTTTTTGTTGCATTTATATTAATACTTGATCTTTCCTGATTCGAGTGTGGGGATTACAAATCTGAAATAAGTTTTATTCCTAAAGCTACAGATTTTTTTTAAGTCTATTTTTTTGGAAAAATGTACAAGTTTAAAAGCGAGGACAATGTATACGCGGGCCTAGTATAACAGAAGGTGGCGTAAGTAGAGCGACAAACTTCTAGGAGAGCTAGGGCACATTATCAGAAATAAAATTGCAAGGAAATCCATGTCCGGAACGGTAATAGTACGCGGCTAGGGACCATTCTCCTATTTATATTAATAGTTCATAATAGGGATGCATTTCCGGTCATAGATTCCTGCGCAGTTTAAATCCTCATGATGGTCCCTAACTCCCCTAGAAGTTAGTCGCAACATTTCTGCAAGTCCCTTTTATATATAACTGTTTTAAAACTTGTACATTTCAACAAAAAATAGATAAAAAATGGCATTTAAAAAAACCTTAGCTTGAGTAGAAAAATTGTTGGCAGATTTGAAATTAGTGATACGAAAGTTTCCAAGATCTGTAAAAAAATCTCATGCGACCAAAAAAATTTTTTTCTCCGTAAGTATAATTTATTATAAAAATAAATGTGTATTAAAGCATTATATCCTTAAATGCATAATTTTCGCACTGAAGTAAAAAGACTCTTCATACAGTGAAAATAATATTTAAACAAAAATAAATTACCACAAAAAGAACTTTAAAGTTTCCCGTTTTGGAAAACGTGCTAAAGAACGAAAGAATTATGAAATTATTTCTTTACAATTCTCTAAATAATATTTACATTTCAAAAAAATTCAGTAAAATTTATCAATCTTCCAGCTTACATTTCTAGCAAAATTTAATGATCTTCCAGCTTTTTCTAGTAAAATTTAACAATCTTCCAGTTTACATTTCTAGCGAAATTCAACAATCTTACAGCTTACATTTCTAGTAAAATTTACTAATCTTCCACCTTCCATTTCTAGTAAAATTTTACAATCCTACAGCTTACATTTCTAGAAAAATTTAATATTCTTCCAGCTTATATTTCAAGTAAAATTTTATAATCTTGCAGCTTATGTTTCAAGAAAAATTTTTTAAATTAAATAAGTAATTAAACTTTGTAACGCAGTTTTTTTTAGGTATATTTTTAGTAGTGACAACAAAATTTTCAATCAAAACACAGATTTAAATATCAGAAAAACCTATTACTAGTATTTTTTTAAGGAATAATTAGGCTTTTAGTAATGTTTTCATAATTTCTGGTAATTACACATTTCGACAAATACAAAGCTAAGTTTCAAGCTTTTAAGCCCGTTTAAAAAGTACTACAAAGATGAAAATATTGAAAATTTTTAACTCAAATGGAAAACCATGTCTTAATTGTTGTTGCTGAATACAGGCAATGAAAATATGCACAGAAGTATAAAAAACATTAACAATTAGTTTGTGATTTTCATTGTGGAATTTCGTCAAGTGTTTTCATTACAATAATTTGAAACAAAATCCAAAATAGGAAAATTATTACGGTTCAGGAGGAACAGGTGACATTTAAATCTTTAAAAAGTAAATAAAAAGTTTACTCACAGTTAGATTCATTTTTCTATCCAGAGGATTGAGAGATGTTTCGAAAAATGCTCCTTCATAACTCTGGTGATCCAGTAACCAGGATACGGCTTTACCGATCACTTTAGGATCAATAAACAGAAAATTTTCCCACTCTTGAAATGTTGCTTTATGAAATATTCTCGCACAAAATGCAGTCAACCTGAAAATGTTTCTGTTTTAAAGAAGTCACGGAAATTTAAACTTCTTAAAATTAAAAAAAAGAACTTTTTAAAACTTTTTTTTGAATAATGCTATTTTAAAACTGTGCTATATAGTAAGTATAGAAATAGTGCTTTTGCTTTGGAGGAATTACAGCACTATAAGGGATTTTAAAATAAGAGAAAGGATTTTTTTTTAAGTAATAGTATTTTATACCGCGTTAAATGGTGCATGTCGAAATAGTGCTTTTGCTTTAAGGGAGTTACAGCACTATAAAGGATTTTAAAATAAGAGAAAGGAACTTTTTTTAAATGATAGTATTTTATACTGTGTTAAATGGTGCATATCGAAATAGTGCTTTTGCTTTAAGGGAGTTACAGCACTATAAAAGATTTCAAAATAAAAAAAAGGAATTTTTTATGTGAATAATAGTGCTTTTATACTCTGCTAAGTGGTGCGTACAGAAGCAGTGCTTTCGCTTTAAGGGAGTTACAGCACTATAAAAGATTTCAAAATAAGAGAAAGGATTCTTTTTTGAATAATAGTCTTTTTATACTCTGCTAAATGGTGCTTGTAGAAACAGTGCTTTTGCATTAAAAGAGTCACAACACCACAAACGTCTTAAAATAAGAAAAAGGAACGCAGTATTTATATCCTTACATGCCATGGTTTCGGCAAATTTCACAGAGGTACATTTCAATAAAAAAAGCTGGAATGTACTTGTGTGAAGAAAAAACAAGATCAGTGGATACCATGGTAATAAAGAGGGGAAAAGTGTGAAGAGTTGGGGAAATCCTCTAATTTAGAGTCTATTCTATTCAGAAATCGTCTAATTAAAAGTCTATTCTATTGAGAAAGAATAGAATGTTTGATCCCCTCATTTGAGTAAGATGCGTTTTTAATTAATCAGTAAATTCAGAATCTCGAAAAATAAAAATACACTTTATCATAAGTTCTAGAAAGTTGCGGTTATTTTAATTCATAAAACTTTTCTTCCTTTTTTTTCTGAGAATCGTCTAAATTGACTAAAACTGTAAGGACTGGTAATTTGACAATAGATTTTGCAGTAGCAAGCACAAACATTTGAATTAGTAAACATGAAAAAAGGGGATAAAAATGTGAAATGAAAAGCTAATCGCAAAAGTAGTCTATTTTAAAAACAATCTAGGACTGGTAAAAGATCTATTTTGTTCCAAAATGCATAATCAGAAAACCTGAGTGGATTTTTCAGAACTTACCATACGCTAGAAGGTGTATCCCAACGAAATGGCGAAAAGGAACCATCAGCTTTTTGATAACTTAATTGACGCTGATAGCCTGCAATAAAATAATGACACAGTTATGGGATCTGTACATATATTGCACATAATTAAAAAGTAGAACACCTAAATAAACCTTTGATCTACTGAACAAATTATCAGGCTCTCCGATACAATCTCAATGATTCGGAGGTATTCTAAACTTGAATGGGAACTTTAAATATGCTAATAAAGTACAGCAGACGATAGTTTAAAATAGTTTTCAAGCTTAAGTTTTTTCACTTTAACATACGTTAGCAACAAATGTAACATTATAAAAAGCTATCTGTTTACGTGTTCTAACTAAAATCTTTATCGCGCGCACAATAGAAACATTTCAAATTACTAGTTTATATGTCTTTGCTTAAGATTTATCGATAGGTTGCAAAATCGTGTACAGAAGTATGCTTTTCCTGAATGAATATATTTTCAGAATATACTTTTTTTCGACAGATTAGGATTCTTGATGAGCGAAATATGGTAAGTAACCAAAATCCGGAAAATATGGTCTCAATAGTTAGGAGAGAGATTGAAAGGTTAGTTCCCTTATTGTTAATTTTGCTTTTTGCTTATTTCATCAGATCTATAGAACTACTTATAAGAACCAAAAACATTTTTTGAACACATTTATAAAATCTATTTTTCCAAAGGGATTTTTCGATTTGTTTATCCCAAAGTAATATTTGAAGTGAAATGATAATGAATATGGCAGTTCATTAATTTATTGCGTTTTAATATTATTTACTTCCACTTTTTTTCCATAAGCAAAAATTTTGAATTGTAAGTAACTCTTAAACTATGAGATTTAAATACTTTGTGTAATAAGATTTCAAAAAAAGTTGAAGTTTTAAACTTTCTTTGAAATATTAAAATTTGATCTTTGAGCGCGGAAATCCAAACACTAGATCACAATATATAAAGGCATTCATTTTGATCTTGCGTTCTTTACCTATAATTTACTACAAATACAAATAATGCACTCTCACTTATAAATGTCACTGTAGTAATACAAAATCCAAAAACTTTATTCTACGGAATTTAATGTATAGTATGTAGTATATATAGTTTTATTTAAAATTATCCTATAAATCTAAAGCATGACTCCTGATTTCGCCCATTAGCCCCCTTCCCTTTTTCTGTTAAAGCTCTATTTTTATTTTTAACACTTTTTTTACAGTTTTCTGGATATTAATTTGATATAGAAAAGGGTAGAATTATTTTAACCGTTTGACACATGTTGACACATGTTCATAACTAGGGGGTGACTAGTGAGTTAAAAAGCAAGTGTGGAAGTTTAGAACTTTTGCCCTGAAATCTGAAGAAGAAAAAATCATTTAAAGTTAATTTTTTTTCTATTTTTAGGAATTTTTTACATTTGTTCTTTGCATATTCCAGCTTCTAGTATACTTTATTCTACCCCAAACGCTCCTAAATAAGCCACAATATTGGCTAAAGCTGTCGAGAGGAAAAATACCAGAAAGTCGTCGTAGACCGAGTTAAATTTCGCAGCATTCCATGGTCGTTAGAGATCAAAAATGAGTCTTGATCATGGTTAGTTGGTAAATCCAAATTTAAATTATTTTCACTCACCAACATTTAAGTGCTTGAATGCTTCTTTTTCAACTTCCAGCTGTCTCTGTCCACTTAGCCTTAAGTAGAGCAAAGTGTACAAGTTGGCGGCAAAGTTAAACATATTTTGTTCGCCACACCAATCAGGCTTGTTCAACAAAGTTGAAGTATTCACAGGCATATGAGGAAAAGCAGAACCGATAAAGTCTCCTGCAAAGAAATACATTAAAATCAGTGGTGAAAGTACGTCGAATTGGAACATCATTCTGATGAGAAATAATCAGATAAAATTTATGAAAGCCAAATTTAAATTATTATTTTTTATTCATAATCGCTTATTATGAGTTATTCTTAAGGTATAAAGTGTATATATAATATATTTTGTAAATGTAAGCCCTAATATATATATATTGGAGGAGGAAATTATCGCCAATCCGGTATTAAAAATAATTACTTTTAGAGCAGAACGACCCAATGATCAAAACGTCTTTTCCGGAGTGGTGTTTAATGAATAAAAGATTTGTTTTCTTGGGTAAAATTGTCGTTTATGAAAGAACAAAATGCCCTGCACATTAGTTATTTCGATAATGATTTAATCTCCAATAATATTCTTACAATTCTTGTAAGAAATTTAAGCTATAATAATATGCACTACAGAGATCAAAAAGTAATAGTTAACTGAAAAAAAAAACGTTCTTTAACTTTAACCAATTCCAATTTTGGATAATTTAAATCTGAGAAGGGGTTAAAAGAATCAAAAACCAGTCCGATTGAGGGTGAGTCTAAAAAAGTTGCTCCCAACGAAGGACGAATGAATTTTATTTCAATAAGACAAATAATTTGGGTTTTAATAATTTTAAGATATCTTTTTCTTTTCTTTTTTTAGCGATTTCAACAATAAATGGTCTTAACTTCGGAAACATTTCATCTATAAATATTAATTTTCGATCACTGATGTGCAATCTAGTTTCTTTATCATGTATATTTTAAAGGATTCCAGAAATATATACTTTGAAGTCGATGATAATGGATCTAAATACTTTCATACTATTTCATTTTTATTCTTTTTTAAAAAAAAAAAAAANTAAAGAATGAATATACGGTAGATTTTAGGAAAATACATAGATTATTATGTTGAAGAAAAACATTATATTGTCACCTGATACAGACACTGTAGCCTTGTTCGAACCAAAAACGTAGAGACGTTCATGCCTGTATGGCACAATAGGACTTTCTGTAATATTTGTATCCATATACTTCATTAAATACGCTCCTTGGGATAAATCGAGTAAGACACTCGAATGCTTTTGCTGAGGTATGCCTTCTGACTGAAACATAAACACTGATTTAGAAAAAGAAAATTAAGAAGTCAAATGTAAAAGATGTTTTTTTAATTAGGAGTTTACAACGCATTGTGGGGGGGCGGAGTTATCGACCATGCCAACCGTCATCTATCAAAAGGTACCTCGTGATAGAATCAAGTTAGCATGCTTTATATACTAGTGAATGATGTTAAACTTTTGTAGTGGTAGTTACGCCAAAGTACTCCCCCACCAGAATTTTATCAGAGATATAATTCGATGAACAGATCTCACTAGTTGCTGTACTTGTGAAAGACCGGGAGAGAGTCACCGGATTTTTTGAGTGCTGAATGTGAGAGGTGTATTAACATCACAGTCGAAGTCGCTCCTGTGTTGCCATTAGCAGTCGNTTTCTGTGGCGAAATCATCGTACTTGATTCTAAAAGTTCATGCTCTGGCGAACCTAAAATATGCAATCTACGCTCAAAGTAATTTTTGTTATCTATTTGAACTGAACTGAAGTTCAAGGAATAAATCGTGGTCATCTCAAACTTCGTTACCATCGAAACCATTGCGATACTTTGTTCTTTTTCTCTACTTTTCTTTACTTTACTTATCTCTTTTTTCGGTAACCTGCCTTACGTTTTCCTTCAGCTTTTACTTGTTCAGTTATTCTTCTATGGTTTTAATTTTGTTAAGTTTTCATTAAAATTATGTTTAAATTTAGCATTTCTCCAAATTATTTATCTTTGGTGACAGACTCAACTGAACACGCAGACTCATAAATAACGCAGCCGTTTTCTCGCCAAAGCATTATTTAAAAGATATTTTTGCATGTAGTGATGATGAATTTATACTACGCAAGTCCATATTTTAGAAGTCAAAAAGAACACAAGCAAGCCTGCATTTTTCATGGAGTTCAAAAGTGACACTGTTTAACAGTTACAGATATAAGTTGCCCAAATATTAAATGCGTTTTATAAAAATATGATACAGTAGTTTCTGCTTAATATGATAGCGCTTGATGTAATCAAAATAACTCCACGATTTTCTCACTTCATATTTATGTTAAATTTATTGCAGTCTGTGATCATCACATCGTTTTTTTGTTATCGATTGTTTATTGTTATCAATTAGTGCTTGTTGTTATCAGTGTTTTTTTAATTTCAGTAGAATTTTTGGTGCTCCTATGTAAGATAAAATTATCCCTTTCTGTGATCATTATATCGTTTATTGTTATCTATGGCTTATTGTTATCAAATATCAGTGTTTTTATTTGCTTTTTTCTTCAAAAAACATCTTCAGGTGGATAGGATTGAAGTGATTCAATGCAAATGGCACCTGATACAATATATGGCACCTGATACAATATACCAATTCTTTCCTGTTTTTATGCCTGGACAACATTTTACTCCTGGCTCGCTCACACTGTGCTTAACTTGTTAACTATTATCGTCTTGTAAACACCATATACTAAAAGATATAAATAATTTACTAATTTTTGAACAAAAAATACTTAGAAAAATTTATGGCGCAATGCAGTTAACTTTTAATTATTGGAGAATAAGAACTAATGATGAACTGGAAACTCTTATCAAACATAGAAACAATGCAAAAGGTTTGATGGTTCATGGTTTGATGGTTAAAATTTGGAACTTTCACGGTTTGGTCACATTGAGAAATTACCTGACAACCGAGTGGTAAAGATCTTCTATTGGAAGCCCTCGTGCAACAGGCCAAGAATCAGACCAAAGAAAAGATGGATTGATGATGTCTTGAATGATTTAAAAACTTTAAAAATCTTCTACTGGAAGATCAAGACTGGTCAGGGACTGAGCTGCCTGGAAAATAAAGTGAGGCCGGCTATGGCCCACCCTGGGCAGTAGTACCAATAAAGAAAAAGCACGGCCCTCTAAGTCAAAGTATGTGTCATGTTTTAGAATATATCTTTTATTTAGTTGTCATTTTTCGACTATGTCTTACAATTATTATACGACCAAAAATTGATATGATGATTAAAAAATGCCATTAATAAATTAGATTCTTTATTTTTAAAAACCTTAGTGTAAAACTGTGTTTAATCAAGATAATTAACATTTTGTTACCCCGCAATTTTAACAAACTGTGTCGTCACTGCCTTTTATTTTGTAACTTAATATGGATGTAAAGTAAAATATTTTAATTATTGTTTTCATGCTCAAGCGCTGTTGACCGATGAATTGACTCAACATTGCAAATGCAATGACGAGTTAACTCGTTCTTGATCAGCAACGCTTGCACATAAAAAGGCGAGTTAATTCGTCACCGGTCAAAAATATGTTAATACAAAATGCAATTAAAATTACAAAACAACAAAGGTTAATATTAATTAATTTTAATAAATATCATGAGTGAAAAATATTAAATGTAGTTATATAATAACCAAAAATAAATAAAGAAATTTAATGTAGCAGGCTGCTTCGTGAGTGAAATTGCAATATAATGGAAAGTACACTCCTAATGGTAAGCATAATTGGTAACTGAAATTATTTAACCAAAATAGAATTCNCCCCTCAGCAGTATAGGCTAAATACCAAATATTTGTATATTGCATCTCTAATTTAGTAGCTGCAATTGTTGAGCAGAATCTTGTATCTAATTGCAATTTAAAAAATTCATGAAATGATTTTAAGCAATTTTTGCAATAACAGTACCCTATTTGCACAAATTCACAAAAGCAAGACCCTAGTTGAAAGAATGTGACTTAACGCTTATTTTATATTCACAAATTATGATTAGTTTTTTCACAATTTTACAAAAGCAGGGCTTTTCACAAAATGTCTGGACAGACCCCTGATAACCATATTTTCTTAGAATCAATTTCCTTGATTCGCCTTTAGTATTCGGCTGTTTTGTGTTGAAAATAAATGTAGCAATGATGGGTATAGTCAAGCGATGCAAAAAGGAGGAAGACCCATCAAGTTAATTTTACACAATAAAATAAAAAATTATACTTACATTCACCAAAAGTGGTCGAGTGATAATTTCTTTAGCCAGTTGAGATTTCGCCATGACAGTAACATTTATAACACCGGTGGTTGTAGCAACAATAGGCATATAAACAACAGCTGATTTCCCTGATTTAATCTACATGGAAAAAAAACATAAATAAAAATTAAAACCTATATTGATTCAAGTCGAATTTCAAAAATTGAAATTTTTATTATTTTCAAAAAATTAACAAATTTAATATTGTACAAATAAAAGGAAAATACTTATGCTTCCATTTAGTACAGTAATTTATTCAATGTAAAAATAAAATTATTGCCTTTAGTTTCGCGACTTCTTAATCCACTCAACGAGAAACTAAACGTTTTTAAATAAAATTTTTTTGTTAATGCATAGTTTCATCAAATCAATTGAAAATTCATACAGCATTTTGTTCTCGTTAGAGAAAAATTCTAATTTATTAATTATTGCCTTTAGTTTCACGACTTTTTAATCCAATCAACGAAAAGCTAAAATTTTTAAATAAAATTTTGTTTATTAATGCATAATGCCATCCAACTGGAAATTCATACAGCATTTTGTTTTTGCTAAAAAAAACTATAATTTAATAATTATTGTCTTTGGTGTTGCGACTTTTCCATCCACTCAGCAAAAAGCTAAATTTTTTAAATAAAATTTCGCTTATTAATGCATAATGCCATCAAATCGACTAGAAATTCATACAGCATTCCGTGCTTGTTAAAAAAATATATAATTTATTCCTGTTCTGTTTAAAAACGATACTCAATCAAAATCTCTTAAAGTGACGTTTTAAATATAGGAAGGTTTGATATTTACTAATTAAATAAAATTTAAAAAAATTCGTGCATTTTTTGAGCAAAATGTATTATTAAATTTAAACAAAATTTTGAAAATAGACCACGCAAAATATGCTTTTTAACGAATTTATTTATTTTTGTATCCTTTTTTTAAATTAAAGTTAAAGGGTGCAGCGCATTTCTCTTGTTATCCCAAATATTAAATTCATTAATAAAATAGTAAGGCAAACATTTCAAACAGTCCTATAATACATATTAAAACATATTTCGTATTTGGCAGACTAATATGAGCATCTTTTTTTATCATATATGTTTAGTACAAATTGGTAAAGATACTATACGTGACTCACGATGTCACAGAAGTTCAGGCTTCGAACTGTTGTTATGAAGGTCTAGGGTTCTATCTCTGTTTACATACTAGGTCATACAAAGTCATACCTTCTGCCTGAAAATTGTTTAATTTTAAACTCATAAACCCCCTTGGCCGACGAATAGCTGTAGCAGCAGGATTTTACTATAATCATAAGATATTTAGAAACTTCAGCATTAATAATATTATAATTATCAGGGGTCTGTTTAGAAGAAATTTGGGTCCGTTAACGGACCCTTCACAAAATATCTTTTCATAAAAACGGACCCTTCACAAAATAATTTATCTTTTAATCGGACCCTTCACGAATTTGTTCATCTTCATTATTATTTTATTAATCGAATAAACCCTTCCCAGGAAGGGGGGGGGGGGAAGACAGTTGTAAACGAACTAAATTTTGTCTTCCGCAGACGCTTCTTCCTTTATTCGTCCGAAATTAATATTCTGCGTTCAGCAGTATAGACTAAATACCAAATATTTCTATGTTGCATCGCTAATTTAGTAGCTGCAATTGATGTTTATTTTTCAAAATTTAATTTTTTTAATAATAATTTTACAGTGTTGAGCATGATCTCATTTAATTTCGTATGTAAAAACTCCTTGAAAAAGTTTTTTTGAAATAACGGACCCTATTTGCACAAATTCACAAAAGCGGACCCTGGTTGAAAGAATGTGACTTAACGTTTATTTTATATTCACAAATTACGAGTAATTTTTTCACACTTTTGCAAAAACGGAACTTTCACAAAATGTCTGGACAGACCGCTGATTACGACTTATAGCATACGAATTATTATTTTAGAATTCTTTGGTACTTACAAAAACCAAATGATGTTGTTCTTCAGATGATGTTCGTGGATCATATGATTGAACAACACCAAAAGACTCCACATGAACAAATTTGTAGTTAGGTGAACTACCCAAAATAACCAGAGCCTGAAATAGAATACAAAAAGGTTCATTTAAGATTTTGCTCTTCTAAAAAGTACGAACACATCATAAGCGATACCTACTTTTTAAGAAAACTAGAATAAAAATTGCAATTTCAGCACGCGTAAGTAATTAATAAATGTTAACAGCAAATAAAATAAAATTTAAAATGCTACCATTGTAATTTTCAGACTTCATTATTATTTTCCATTCAAACAACTTAATCATTATTTTTTTTTAAATTACTGTAATCTGAAAACGGCAGCAATCATTAAAAAGGAATATTTATAAATGGAAAATACATAAAAATATATCTTTAAAGATTCTTTAAGAATGATATGTTTTTTCATTCCGATCTTTGATGTTATTATTGTTAACTTCGTTGATCTCCCTCTTAATGTTTAATTATTTATCACGGTGCATATTGAAGGCTCATAAATATTCTTCATGAGAAATATTCTTGAATTCTTACAATTGCAATGATTTGCTAAGATAAGATTTGCTCTTCTAAAAAGTACGAACACATTATAAGCAATGCCTACTTTTTCAGAAAAACTCGAATAAAAATTTAAATTTCAGCACGCGTAAATAATAAATATCAACAGCATATAAAATAAAGTTTAAAATTTTACCATTGCAATTTTCAGACTTCATTATTATTTCCCATTCCAACAACTTAATCATTTTTTTTATAATTACTTAAGTCTGAAAACGGCAGCAATCGTAAAAAATGAATATTTATAAATGGAATACATAAAAATATATCTTTAAAGATTCCTTAAGAATGATATGATTTTTCATTCCGATCTTTGAAGTTATTATTGTTAACTTCATTCATCTCCTCATAATATTTAATTATTTTTCATTGAACATATTGAAGGCTCGTAAATATTCTTCATGACAAATATTCTTGAATTCTTACAATTACAATTATTTCTATTATGAGGTTTTTATTTCAGGCCGTTCCGTAATCACCACCCTCTATAAATATTTTTAGAATCCCAGTTTAGGGATAGAAATATATAGAGGTTGGTTCTAGTGAAAATAAGTGTTTAAACAAGAAAACACGATAACAATAAAGAGAAGCTGGTGTACAAAATCTTTATAGCCAGTTGAAATGAGAAGGTGTTGCTAAAATCGTGGTTCAACTTCTATTTTAATCCAGGAGGGATTATTAAATTGTTAGATACACTTTCAAGTTTCAACCAGAAATCAAAGATTTTTTTTATATGTAGTACATTTGACATTCTTCATGGTAATTCGTCACATTTCAATAACGTGTTTTTATATCATTTGCATAAATGTTAATTTACTATACTTAGTACACATGAAATATATAGAATACAATAAGTATACATGGAAATTCATTTTTTGCATAGAAAAAAGATTTAAAAGGATTTAAAATATATATTAAGTGAGGGGTGTTTATTACAGAAAACCCTATACAAATAAATTTATTTCACTAAAGTATAAATTTACATATTAAAGTAATCTTTATTAATATTTTTCTAATTTAATTTTATATAATTAAATATAGAAATAAAAAATGAAACTTACTTCTATTTCAACATGAAAGTAATTGAAGACAGTTATACGTAATCCAATTTGTTCTCCCAATTTACACTTGGATGGCATTTCTAAGTTCATAGTAAAAGGTCGCTCAAAAGAAAACTGTAATTTATAAATAAAATATAATTATATAAAGAAACGGGTTAAATGTATTAATAATATCGATAATATTTAATTAGTTTCTGAATGCTATATTTTAAGTTACGGTAGTTACGCCAGAAATAAATTGTAGTCTGAAGATTCCATGCAAGTGGTTTTAAAAAAGCGGATTTAAGCCAGAGGTTTTAAGTTATCGATCTTAATGTATTTCCTTTTAATAATAAGAATATAGATTAATAATACAGATAAGAAGCTTAATTATAAGTCGGAGTTGAGTCTTTCCATATTATTAGATTTTTAAGATATGGAACACTTAACACAAGCAGTCGGTACCTAAAAAGTGATCGTTATCTCTGCACGGTTAAATTTTGTGAAGTGTTTAACTCTCATATAAAAAAAATTTCATTTTAAAACATCTAACATTTCAAAAAATTCGAATTAGAAATTTAATATATTTTTAGAGATTTTAATTCAAATTAAACGCAAATTGGAAACATTATCAATACTATGACGAAAACAAAAGCTCCTCTTTTTGAAAATTCAATTTAAATCTTCAGTGGGCAAACTGTTTCTTTCTTATTTAGATGAGTTGTATTTTATAGCTTTGGAACAAAATTCATCCTTGTGTCCTCATTCAATTCAAATTCACATTGGATGAATAGATATTTAAAAAATTTGCGCAATGTTTACGTATAT